GAAAGCGTTTGCCCCAAAGTTGCTTTGTTTTAGTTTGATTTTTCAATTTTAACATTTAACTACGTTTGAAATGCATCTGGCGGTTCAGAAAGAAATTAAATTCTGGTAGATTACTAATTGAACTACTCTAATTTGCTTATCAACCAGTCGCATTTAATCTATACTGTCGAGTGAACATCACCCGTTTCATTGATGATATAAAATGGATGGCATACTAATCTTACAGCAACATACGCCTCAACTCTTTTCGAACTTCAAACATCACTTCAGTGCTGGAAGATGCTGAAAGCAAATTTATTTGCATGCGAGAATTTGAAATAATTTTATTGCAAACTCAAAGTTTATCGATAAAGCCGGCATTTTATAATCAAAGGCAGTTTTAATAGTTTTATAAAGAACACTTTAAAACGTTTTGTGAAGCGTTTGTGGTTGAATTTCACCTTAAATTGAAGCTTATATTACATATAATAATATACCTAACATATATATGTTGGGAAATTGATAATTTTGTAATTAAAAGTGATATTTTTAGGCGATTCATTTGTAAGAATATTCTTAAAAAATTATCGTGTTACCATGACAACTACTCTAGACACTTCATGTTCGGAAAATACAATGGTTTTGTCAGCAAGGCGAGGGTTTCTGCATGCATGTATTTTCTAGTTTACTTATTGTTTACAAAGCGTTTTGCAAGTCGAGTGTCCACCACAATTGTTTATCGGAATGTGTGGCACCGTACGTTCTCTGAAATCTACATATACACGAAGTTTTATATTCGACATGCACAGGGAATTTTTATTTCTGGATTTTGCTCCCAGAATTCGTAAGTCCCAACTTTGATTTTTTTTGACAGGCTGACCAAGACGACTTCTCGTAAGGATTCATTAAGAAAATACAAATTCAACAGGAGCGTTTCTTGATTTTCAATTGAAAAGATCAACTAGTGGCTAAAATTCATTATGAGTTGTACTCTATCGAACGTGAACGATACGTGTACATACGAAGAGTTTTAAAAACCTTTCACGTCATGCTTCTTGCGAAAGCAACCGTTCGTAAGCTTTCGCAAGCGTTTTGAACAAAGACTCTAAAAGATTGGCAGTAATACCTGAAGATACAATAGCAGAATCTATTAAATTATCGTATAACATCGGAATTTTACCCCCAGTATCTATGTCTTCATCAAAACTTGACTATAAAACTTCCAGCTCAGTTTTCCCACCACATTTATCTTCCCATAAGACAACTTCGCCATAGTAACAACAGGACGCTCGTTACCAGTTCATTGCATCACACATCGACCAGCGCGCCTATTGCCGTTTGACGCCCTATATATATGCGCCCTGATTTTGGACGTCAGTTTCCGCCATCTTGGCTTCACTTTTCTCATAAGCCGAATGACTGAAGTTCTTGCTCCAGATATATAGAGAGTTCACTCGTGCAGATAAAGAAAACAACGCCCATCTGCACAACACTTAATTTTAAATGTGATTGCGTTCACTACCAAGTAAAGCCTTTCAGCAATCAATCTTTCATGTTATCATGTTTATATTGTTTGCAACAACTTTAGCACCATACCTCTTCAAACGTTCCTGCGCCAAAGTGGCCACTTTCAAAATCTGTTTTTAGCAGGATCATGCTTTGTGGACTTGAATATTCTTTCATGGAGTTTAGATGGCGGAGCTTTGACACATACTTCAACGACATCCAATATGGGACTCTGACGTCATTCACTGATGACATGAAAAGCATGCTGGGATAATGCTAAAGATCAAATGACAAATTAGACTTTTTACTTGTAAATGGTTATTAAGTTAACAATGGGATAGATTCCCAAAGTTGAATTACATAATATAGGTGGCCATGGTATCTATAGCCGAAGTATTGTTTTCACCCAAGAACATTAGCGAACTTAATTAAGCAAGGTTTAATTTAGTACCTGGAGGTGAAAAGAAAGTCTTAAATTTTACACTTCTAAAACTATCTATAATCTATCGATGTTAGGAACTTTAAGCAAGAAGGACGCAAGTGAAACGACGACGGCCATCAGTGTGATCAGATGACAATCATAATAGTGTAGAAAAGAAATTATTAATTAAAATCTCATAAAAATATTCGATGTCGTCCTCTTTCTGTTCACAACGACAAATCACAGATTATCACATCTTATATACAACGGACAAATTTCAAGCTGGGACAACTGTTATTTCAAATTGGATACTATAGAAGTCTTCTCAACCATGAATTCCTGCCTTAAGCTCGATCCTTAAACCGTATTAATTTCATACGATGGATAATCGAGTCATTTCTCTGTCTGTTCTCTTCAGCCTAATAGCTCTCTAAACATTTAATTCTTGGTTTGCACTAGACGTTATGGCGGTCGTTCATGCTGGAGGAACGCTGACAAAAGAAGATCATTAGCAGCTATTGCATTTGGAGTGTGTTTTCCTTCAACATGCATTGCCACCATATGTTTGTCTTTTAATTCTGAAGGGACCGATGGCAAACCACCAATAGTCTGACGATCGGTCGTTGGCCAAGCACAAATCGATTGTATTTTGGCTCAATCACGATGCAAATTGGATAAGAAATTATATATGCCAGTTCGCACACTTATTGCATTGTGCGCCCGGCTGGCTTTACACTGCAATCGACGTGCTTGTTTTGTGTTGGTGAAGTTATTTTATTTTTAACTGACAAAGTTTACTGATTTGGCAAAGCCTTCGATTCAAAAGCCTGGTTCATCAATTCTAATTGGTTATATACTCCTTGCAATGCTAATCAGTAACCAGGACCAAAAATGTTGCAAGCCTAGTAGGCCGTTTGCTGTCCCACGCTATCGTTCAATTCCGTAGTGCACCTCGTGGAACTAAATAATTTTATAATAACTTACCACTTTCAACTACGCTGAGTACGAATCCGAAGAGTTCCCGCTCCTAATCTCTTTCATTTTGTCACAATTGCCTCTTATGTTAGCACTCATTTTCAACGTCAACAGCCGCCATTTTGAATATTGCGTAACATACATCATAAAATAACATCAGTCGAATCGAGGAATTGTGACGTCAAGGCCGCCGACCGTTAACCGAATGTTCACCAAAGGAGGTCTCGCTGCATGTTAAATAATAAAGCATGGCGCAAAAACGCGGGAATATCAAAACAAAATGGACGAAAGTTCATGCATTATTCATTTCACGGGAAAAGGCGGGCAAATAAAATCTTTAACCACTGAAACATTAACGAAAATAATCGAACGAAGAAAACAGTGGCTGAATCTCCCTGAAAAATACGGAGAATTCAGCGATGTTGCGGAGAAAACGTACGCTCATATCCCTGCCAACAAAGATGAGGTATGTGAACATGACGAAAAACTTGGTTATCATGTTTCTTGCTATCGAAATTTTACCGACAAAACCAAGCTTGAGAAAGCGGAATCAACGCTCGCGAATTTAAAGAGAAAGAAAGACGAATGTGAAAACCAAGACGATGATCCTGTTCCCCAGAAAAGGACACCGACAAGGCAGTCGTCCCGAATTCAAAAACAAAGCTGTTCCCCTACCATATCTATTTCTGTTCGTGGAAATGTTCTACCGAAAAGGTGCTTGGTTTGTAAAAAAGCAAAACCTATTAGTGTATTTGAAACGGTGAGTATAGTGAAACATTGTTTTTATTTATTACTTCAAATATAAGAGAGGTGATCTGAGATTGTTCTTATTATAAAGCCCGAATCAAGTGAGAGCGGAGGATCGCAAGTTGGCAGTCAAGATTTACTATCGTAACAGTCGTTTTAGCATTACCAAAATAACTGCTTCGTGATTTCCAACTAGCGTGATTGCCAACTTGCGTTCTCGTTTGATTCAGGCTCTAATTATAGTTTCCATTTTTGTAGCACTCGCGAAAGTATAAAAAACAGTTCCTATCATTGGCACAAACAATTACGGCAGGAGCACTACAAGAAGCAGCCAAACTACATAATGACACTGATTTGCTTTGTGAAATTGCAGGGAAAGACTGTGTTGCAATTGAAGCACGGTATCATAAAAAGTGCTATTTACAGTATACAAAGATTTTAACGCGCAAGATCAAACCTATTGGTGCAACAGTTTATGACAATGCGTTTGACATTTTTTGTGCTGAAATTATTGAAGAAAGAATTGTTGGTAACAAGGAAATATTTCTTCTCAGCTATTTGCTGGTGGAATTTATTAAGATTGTCAAAAAATTGAATGGAGAAACTATTGTGTACCAATCAACTAGGTTGAAGAATAGGATCCAAGCGCGTTATCCAAATATTGTCTTCCATTCATCAAAGATGATGAACAAAGGTATTCTCAATCCTGTAGCCAAATTCAGCTGACAATATAAACAAATCCCTCATTATTTTGTTTTTTCTTGATCCCTGTATTGGGTTTTGGAGATGTATATTTTTCAGTTTTGTTTTTTAAAGGTATCCTTGTGTATGCAGATTGTGTTGTTACAGGAGATGTAGCTGATGAAGTGATGGATACAAGTAAAGATGAAGACACAGATGAAGAGGATGAAAATAGTGATGAAGGCTGCCGCATGAGTACAAATTATGACCCAGATGAGATGTTTGATTGCCCTTTGTCTCAGTTGTTTTATGTTGCAATGAACTTAAAAAATCTTCTTAATAATAATAAAGGGATGAGTGTAGTTTGGCCACCCGACTCGCATGACCTATCAATGGAAGAAGCAACCAAATCAATCCCCTCTAGATTGTTTAATTTTATTGCTTGGATGTTAGGATTTTCAGTTGAACCAGTTGAAGAGAGTAAGGTATCCATAAGTGATAGCGAAACTTGTAAGGTTGTTTCGATTGCACAAGATCTCGTTTATATAGCGTCAAAAGGAAAAACGTTTACGCACAAGTCACTAGCACTCGCAATGGCCACTCGCCACATTACTGGTTCTGTTAAGCTTGTTAAGATTCTCCATGGTTTAGGGCATTGTGTTTCTCCAGCAACAGTATATAAACATGACTCAGCGTTAGCTTTAAGTTGTAATAATACTGATCAGGATTTAATTATTCCCAGGAATATAAATCCAGGATCATTTTCAACCATAATATGGGACAACAATGATTTTAATGAGGAGACAGTATCGGGAAAAGGAACTACTCATGTTGCCAATGGTAT